CACTATTCTCCTTAGAGAGAGTGGTCCTCAGGTTGCCAGTGACCAGCAGTCCTAAGGGTAAGCCCTGTGCCCCTCCCCCAAGCACCACATAGTGGTGGCGACATCCTGGCCCTGGATATAGTTCACATTTCTAGATTAGTCCCCTCGGTCAAGATGTTCCTGCTTGGGACTTGCCTGAGTTTCTGTCCCCCCACCCCTCTTTCCAAGGAGATAAGCCAGCCCTTTGGGTTTCTTTGATTAGTGTGAGGTAGAGTTTTAATTTCTTGAATCCAATCCCTTAGAATGTTTTCCATGAATGTTTTTTTAGCAGATGCAAGGAACGGATGGTATCGGCGCTCCTGGATGCAGCTGAGGAGCCAAAGCAAAGCAAAGGGAAGCTGGAGTCTTGGTGGACAAGGACATCAGGTGCCACAGTGGAGGTTACAGTCCCAGCATCACTATGGGGAGGGGGCAGGGCTCCCCAGGGAGTGACTATACCACATGAGGTGCTCACCAGACCCCAGCATCAGCTCTGCTGGGGCAAAGATCCTTGGGCTCTGAGTAGAAAGACCTGTGGGATGGTGTGAGGGAAGAGCAGTGCACCATGGTAAAATGAGAGGGGCTTTTCCTTGACCGGCCTGGGCTCTAAAGTGCATGTCCCAGAATGAGTTGACCTCAAATAATCAAGGAGTTAAAACCCCAGACTAGCCACTTGGGGGATGGCTCTGAATTGGACATTTAGTTAAACAGGATTTTTTCTGGGTCCCTGAGGTTGTAGAGGAATCCATAACACCCACCTGCAGCTAGGCTACTCAGGGTATGCCCCTGAGCTAGGGCTGTGACACACAGGAACTTGGGACCTCCTTCTTAGTCCTGTCCTCTGCTCTGCCCGTGCCACTCAAGCGGCTGATGAACCTGGTTTGGCAGACATACTTGGTGCTTGGCTTTGGCGGGTGGAGGGGCCTGGAAAGTGTCCTCTGTTCCTTGAAAGGATTCAGGTCCTCCAGCACAGCTCAGCCATGGCTTCCCCGGTATCTTGTTTACTCTCCAGGGAAAATGGAGAGAACAGACACTTCCTACCCTGGGTTCTATGGCTGGAGAGTTCCTAAGTGTAAAGGATTCTCCTCTCCTTCCTCTCTCCCCTCTTTCCTCTCTCTCCCTCCCTCCTTCCCTCACCCCTTCCCCTTCCCCTCCCCCTCCCTCTCCTCTCCTTCCCCCTCCCTCCTCCTTACATCCTCCCTCCCCTCCCTCTTCCCCTCCTTCCTTCTTGTCTCTCTCCCCCACCTCCCACTCCTCTACCTCCTTCTGCCTACCTCCCTCTCCCTCCCTCCTTCCTTCCCTCTCTCCTCCCTCCTCCCTCTTTCTCCCTTACCTCTTCCCTCTCCTCTACCTCCTTCCCTCTCTTCTACCTCCTCCCTCTCTCTCCCCTCCTTCCCTTGAGGGCTGTGAGAAATCACAGGTGACATGAGAAAATGACAGTACAAACAATGTAAAGGAATTTTGTGCCCTTCAGTCTATGGCTTCAGCACAAGGCTAAGGCTCTGCTCTCTGAGTATCTGTGGGTAGGCAGAGCCTTCTGTACTGGCTACCAATGAGGAAGCCGTGGTCCTGGAGTTTTACACTTGCTGAGTGCCATTTAGTCTTACGTAGGTTTCTCATCTATAGATAAACAACAGGAACAGAATGAAGTACCCTGAAGAGCATTTCTAAATGCAGGTCCAAGAGCTTAGAATTTTACAGCATCCCAGCCTCCTGCTTAAGGAATGGGAGGGACCCCGTGATGAGCAGGGCTCCCCCCTGACCTCTAGGTTCTCTAGAATGAGCAGTACTCTCAGGGCTCACTCTCCTCAGTCTGTGGGGCTAGCACTCATGATGGCTGTGGAGAATCTGAAGAGGATGGGAGAGCAGAGACGCTCGGGTGGCCCCAGTGAGCTCACGTCTGCAGTAACCCCACTGCTAATAACTGGGCTACTGAGACAACCTTGGAAGCTAGACACAGGTGAGAAATGATGGCTGTCTCCTCAGGAATGTGCTAGCCAATTAAGACATTCTCTCAGATGGCTGGGGAAGATGCTGGGAATACTCCCCCAGGCCATGCTGGCCAGCCTCCAGGCTGGGCAGTTGTACAAGGACTTATAAGGGTCTCTACCCACCTGGTTTCCAGGTGCGAGCATTGGCCCGGGTGTGTGGTCTGTCTGTCCAAGCCACGTCTTCAAGAGCAGACAGAGAGCCTCAGGGTTCTGCTGCTGAAGTTCCAGGCTCCCTTTCTTGGCCCACCAACCTGACCCCTGCCTCTTACTGACCACAGGCTTTTTGGCTCCCAGCCTTTGAAGAAATCCCCAGCCCTTGGTATTCTAGGCTATTCTTTCTGTAAATTAATTAGAAATTCTAGCTAGCCCATATACAAGACACACAATCCAGGTATCTATTCACAAGCTGTCAGGCTGGATTGGGCAGGTTTTGGAGCTGTTCTAACTTACATCCCAGTCATATGTCCCTAGTTACTGGCTGTTTCTCCTGGGCACGTGCTCACGGTCCATCTCCTCTCATGGTGGCTTCCTCCTGTCTCCATGTCCTTTCTTCTCTTCCTCCCTCTCTACTTGAGACCCCCCAGCCAGGTGGCATACCTCTATCGACTGTCCAATCATGGGCTTTAGCCTTTTATCGTCTTGGGTTGGCCCGACGCTGCTTGTATTCTAATGCTAATTTGGGACCCCAGAACTGTTTGCTCCAGAGAGGAGAGAGTGACCGTTGCCTCCAGTTAATTGTGATTGGTAAATAAAGTTGCTAACAGCCAACAGCTGGGCAGAAGGAAAAGCTGCCATGGGTTAAAATGTGGCCCTGTGGGCTAGCCTGATTGGAGTTGAGGGCAGTCCAGATGGAATATAGTAATAACTCGGGGTTATCGATAGGAAAGCAGATTCTAACAACACGGAGGGTAGGCAGCTGCCCAGTTATTGGGCTGATTAGGGATTATTGTAAATATAAAAGCTGTGAGTGTGTCTTTCATCTGTGACCTCAATAACCAACGGCAGGGTAGAAACCCTGGGCCGGGATTTTAAATATTTAATACTTCCTCTTATTGATGCACTAACTTGGGGAGTAAGGTGAAATAACATCACGTGGTGTACATGAGGCTCTCCTAGTGGGGACAACCAGATCTTGGCGGCCAGTATTTAGCATTTGAATACCTAGCAGCACCAGACCAACCCCTACAGCTTCTTCTTCAGTTAGAACATCTGGTTGCTATGGTACTGCTTACTCATGGTGTGGACATCAGGTTTATTTGCATGTAGCACCCACAGGGTGTCTAGTAGAGGCTGCAATATGTGGTGACATTTTTGTGAGGGTGGACTTTTGAGAGACAGCACTTGATCCCTTGGTAGAGAACAAGGCTATTCTACAGGTGATTTACTTACCCGAAGCATCTTCATGCAGGAAAGCCTAACAAGGGCAGGGCTCTGACAGGGCTGGGTCCCCCTCTCTTGAACGGCTGTTGTCCAAAGACCTGAAGCTGGCAGAGCATAGAAACTACGTGGCCTATGCCTTGAGGCTAAGGCAGTCTGTACAAATTAAAACCAAGTCTTTCATTGGACATGGTAGCATGCCTTTAATCCCAGCATTTGGGAGGCAGAGGCCAGCCTGGTCTACAGAGTGAGTTCCAGGGCTGTAGACACAGAGAAGCCAACCAACCAACCAAACAAACAAACAAAAACCAAACCAAGACCAACTAACGGACCAAGTCTTTCCTCTTTATTTTCACCATGTCTGTTTTTATTAGGATCGTATCCCACTGTAAGGACATGAAATCTAGGAAGATGGGAATTCTATCAGGGACCAGATTTCTTTTATCCTTCTGTCCAGGGTTCCTCGTGGCCTCTCGGTCACAACACGGCTACTTTAATCTCTAATACCAAGCTCACAGTCCACACAGGAAAATCCGAGGATCAGCTGAGTCTATCTCCTTTAAGGAAATGGAGAATTTTTACTAGAAAAATTCTACAACCTTCCCCCAAAGTTGCCAGAACAGTATGACAGGGTTCAATGTTCACTAACTGCAAATAGAAACTGAGCACTATGTTTTTAGCTGAGTGTTTATTTCTCCCAATATCATCAGATTTATTTAAATAAGAGACATAGAAGTAGGGCTTCGGAGATGGGTCAGCAGTTAAGATCATTGACTGCTCTTCCAGAGGTCCTGAGTTCAATTCCCAGTAAGCACATGGCGGCTTACAACCATCTGGGACCCCATGCCCTCTTCTGGTGGGTCTGAAGACAGCTACAGTGTATTCATTTAAATAAAATAAATATTTAAAAAAATAAGTCTTCTCTTGTCGCTCTTTCTATGTTTTTGGTTTAAAACAGGGTCTCACTTTACTGGCTGGCCTCAAACTCAGGTTCTAGGCTAGCTTGAAATTGTGACGATCCTGCTGTCTCTCAAATGCTGGGAGCCGGGTGCATCATCACACGGGGCTGTCAGTGCCAACTTTAGCCCTCTTCGCCGGCTTCATTTCGCTTTTGTGGCACTTTAGCTTTCGGAGGAGCTCTCAAACCCTTTATATCCATCACACGTTTTTTGTTTTGTGGATAGTGGTCCTTAAAAAGGATCATCTTGCAAAACCGAGCTTTGGGCTTCATTCTTTTGACTAGCCAGCAGGACTCCGATGGAAGCTAGCCCCAATCAGGCCCCTTGTCACAGTGGCTCTCCATAAGCTCTTAGGCACTCAGATCCTATGCCGGGACCTAAGGCAGGTTTTGGGGTTTGGGTTTCTTTACACTCCGAGTCCCTGTGCGGAGAGAATGGCTTTGGCTGTCCTCCTCCTGCGCAGATGCGCTCTGATCCGAAAGCTCTAGATCTCGGGTACAGAGGAGGAGCGTCCTTCTGTCTCCGAGCACCGCCGCTATTCTCTGTCGCCCTCTACCGGCGGCTCGGAGCGCTGCAGCTGCGCGGTGGGAGAGACGCGCTGGAGCTCAGAGCGCAGGCGCAGACGCTCGCCCGGGTCCTCCGGCGGGCTTGCCGATCTGCGCCTGCGCACGGGCGGAGGCGCGCTGAGGACTCGCTGGAGCTGGCAGGTGGCGGGAGGAGTGGTCCCGGGAGGAAGTGCCAGGAGTTGGTGCGCCACAGGTCGGGGGCGCCCGCGTTCCCTGGGCCTCGGAGGCCTGGACGCGTTCGGGACGTGGCTTTTTGCGGGGGCGTGACCTGAGCTCCGCTCCTCGGCTGGGAGTGGAGGAGAATGGGGATCGCCGAGGCCTTTAATTAATTGGGTGCCTGTTGTTTGTTTGCCCGAGGTGCAGCCCGGTTTGCCTTTTGAGTTTGCAAACAGTGGGGAGGAAGCGGCGGCGTGGGGTGGGGGAGCACGAGGGGAGATGGGGTCTCCGGGGCAGAGAGCCTAATCCAGCGAGGGCCGTCCCATTCCCGGGGGCAGGGGGTGGGGACACGACGCAGGACACTGCTGCAAAATGAGGGCCCCAATAGGAACTGCCGGTGTTGTGCACACAGGCACACACTTAGAGCAACAGCTTCTCACACACTGTTTTCCACTTCGTGTAGAAATGATTTATTTTTTTCCTAGAGCGGCCCCACATGGACACTTAACACGCGCTCACCACCTCCACTCCCATCCCCTCCCCCCATATAGGAGATGACACATGGGGTCTCAGCACTCCTCCTCTGCCCTCACGTTTTGTCAACGAAAGAAGGATGACAACCCGGAGGACTTGCTGGCTGGTAGAGATCAGGAGGAAGCCATCGCTCAGTTCCCCTATGTGGAGTTCACTGGGAGAAATAGCATCACCTGTCACACCTGCCAGGGAGCAGGCTACATCCCAGCAGGTGAGACCTTCCGGCCATCCCTGAAAGCGCTCTGGTATCTGCTCCAGCCAACCCTCCACAGTCAGAGTCGGCCCTGAATTGTAGCCTGCTCAGCTGACCTGATAAACGGGCTCGCTGCAGGGTTTTGTTTTTTTTGTTTTGTTTTATTTTTATCTTATACTTGGAACTCTTTGTCTTCTTCATTTCTACTCCTTCATTAATGCCTTAGCTTCTCTTCCGGTAGCTCTGATAAAATACTCTGACAAAAACAATTTAGGAGATAGGTTTATTCTGATTACAGCTCCCGGTCGCAATCTGTCACCGAGGACAAGTCAGGAATTTAAGATTGCCGAGTGCGTGTAACCATTTCCCCTTCCCTTTTCGTTCAGAGACACAGCCTAGGAAATGGGTGCCTCCCACGTTTAGGGAGGGTCTTCCCACTTCAGTAAACCCAGTTAAGAAAATCACTCACAACCTAATCTCATCTGTACCCACTGAGACGTCTTCCCAGGCCATTCTAGGTTCACCAGCACTCAGCCCCTCTCTGGTTTGAAATATTTATTTCTCTGCTGTGGGATTTGTTGACAAGGATGTTTCTCTGTTGCTCTTGCTCATAAGGACGGCCACATCATTGTGGGGGAGCTATTCTAGAAGCTTCTTTACCAAAATGACACCAGTGAAGAGTAGCCTCTGGTTTTCAGTCAGCAGAACACCAAGGGGTGGAGAGTGGCTCAGGAGTTATCTGTAGCAACAGCTGCACCAAGTTGACCCTAGGAGTTGAGGAAGTCACAAAGTTTAGAGCTATTAAGAACCTAGGAAACCACACGCTGCAAAGCTCCAAATGAGAAAAGACAGTGGCTTTGAGACGTTTCGTGACTTTTGTCAAAGACGGCCAAGGCAGGAGCTCCCCCAATCTCAGTGCCACCACCCCACAGCACTGGTAGTTTTGTAGTTTGCGGCATTCTCCATAGGTTTATCTGTTTCTTTTTTTTTTTCCTTCGGGCTTTTCTTTTCCTATTTCTACATTTACCCATTTCTTCTTCACTCATCCAAAAATGTATGTTTTAGTGTCTAATACCAGATGAATCTCTGTTGTGGCAGTTGGCAGCGAAATGTGACAAGAAGGGCCACCCATACGTGGGATTTACAGAATGAGTCTTTGCTGCTTTTCTAGAGCAAGTCAGTGAGTTGGTGGCTTTGATCCCCCACAGTGACCAGAGGTTACGTCCTCGGAGAACGTGAGTTGGCCGGCCCTCATCTGCTAATACCTGCTTCTGTTCCTGAGTCCTCTCTATGAAAGAATACCAGTTAATTATTTGAGAGATGTCTGTTCTTGTGTCTGTCCCATTTCCTTATTTTCTTTATCTACTTATTTACGATTGCCTTATTTACTTGTTTGTTTGTTTGTTTGCTTACTGGTGATACTGAGACTTGAACCCAGGCTCTTTTGCTTACTAGAGACAAGCACTCTTCCACTGAACTATAGCCTAGCCTTCCCCATTTCCTCTAGACTTTTTAAGTGAAATGTCCCTGTCTGTGTTATAGTCTTGGCAAAGAATCCTGAAGCTAGAAACGTCTTAAGGGTCAAATGAAAGGAAGGGATTGGAGAAACAGGCCGTCCTGGGAGATGAGCACATGTTTAGGAGATAAAAGCATCCGTTTCTCTTTGGAGGGCGAATGGTGTTCAGAAGGGTTGAAGGGCCTTTTCTTGCCCCATTGCTCCGTGCCCAGCCTGTGGTTCCTGATTCTGTATGCTTCCTTTCACTGCTTAAGTTTTGCATTAACTATGACTGTTTAGGCTCCGATATCTGACGACCCACCGCGGCCCTGTGCTGTCATTTGCAGGAAACAGTATGTCTTCCTGTCGGTCCTGCTGTGTCTCCTGGCATCTGGCTTGGTGTTCTTCTTTCTGTTTCCGCACTCGGTCCTTGTGGATGATAATGGCATCAAAGTGGTGAAAGTCACGTTTAATAAGCAGGACTCCCTTGTGGTCCTCGATGTCACGGTAAGATGTAGGGCCTCGCTTCCTGCCTTGTGTACTTGCCAGCCTTGGACCAGGACCCTTAACTCTCCTCCCTTACCCTTTCCAGGCCACCCTGAAGGTCAGGAACTCCAACTTTTATCCCGTGGCTGTGACCAACCTGTTCAGCCAGGTTCAGTACATGAATGCTGTGGTGGGATCCTACACGACCACGAACGTCTCACTGATTCCCCCTCGGAGTGAGCACCTGGTATGTTGTCATTGACAGGCCTCTGCCCACATACTGAGAGGAGAATGGTACTGTGGGAATGCTGTGGTTCCTTCCCGTTCCTCCCTTCCGCCCACGGAAGACCTGGCGGGCTCTGTAATGGTGGACAGTTGGGAAGGGACAGGAACAGCTAGCGTTTTTGTACTTGGACAGTGAAAGAATTGGTAAGAGAAAGAGAGTCATCAAATCAAGAGGAGGTAGGATTATAGCCTGAGGCCTCTAGGGGAAGGGGCCAGAGGTAGTTATTCCAGGCTCCTAGGCTGCTTAAGGAAGATGCTTAGTATGTGATGGAAGAATGGTCCAGCATCATGGGTTGATGTCGTTAATGCCGTTAGGACAAGGTGGCCTATCACAGGCTGACGCGGGTCTTGTTTTATTTTCAGGTGAATTTTACGGTGAAGGCCGAGGTGGGAGGACCATCTTCCTATGTGTAGTAAGGACAGAGTTCTCTGTATTGTGCTATCTGCCCGGAGAGATTCAGAGCCCTCCTCGATTGACCGTGTCCCTGACTCTGCCGGACGCCCCAGACTTGGCCTGTGGACTCCCTAGCTTTGACTTTCTGCAGGAGTTTGGGGAGGAGATGTCACTGTTACGTGACTGGAGTCCTGGGCTTTCTAAAGAGAGCATTAACGGCTAGAAACATTCCCAAGCCCCAGCGTGTAAATAGACGACGGCATTGGAAAGCAGGGGACGTGGTGTGGAGGGTTGCGAAGGACACTTTGTGGGGCTCAGAACCAGTGGTCCCTGACAGTGTTTCGGTTTGGGAAAGAGAAGGTACCCAATCACATGGTTTGACAGTGTAACTCCACACTGCCCTATAAGTCTCCTGGGAGATGGCACTGTTCTTGTGCTGCTCTGTTTTCAATCAAGTGACTGTGTCCTGTGTCTGTGTTTGCGACCCACAGCTTCTATTGCACGCTCCCTGCCATCCTGGTACACAACATTGTGATCTTCATGAGGTAGGTCCACGGTCCTCCCTCCTGCCGGGCTTTCGCTTTGAGCCTGGGTCACTTGAGAGCTTCCCACAGTCGCTGGAAGCGAGCGCTAGCAGGAGGCCTCTCACCTGCCTTGTAGTTCAGCCTGGGCAGACCCTTGCTGTTCTCTAGGGGTGGAGTCCAGAACCCATGCGCAGGCTGCCGGGTCCCCAGTGAAGACTGACACATTATGTCTGGAGAGATGATTAAGAGTGCTAGTTGCTTCTCTAGAGGACCCGGGTTTGATTCATGTGGCAGCTCACAGTTGTCTGTAACTCCAGTTTCAGGGGATCGATGTGTTCTTCTGACCTCTGTGGGTACCACACATACACATCGTGTTCAGACACACATGCGGGGGAAAAACACCTAAACACATAAAATAACTATTTTCTAAAAAAGTTAAAAGAGATGTCGTGCATGAAATGAGTTCTAGTTTAACTTAACAAGTGATCCTGTCAGAATCCTCGAGAGTAAAGAATGGCCCAGCTTTCTCACAGTGTTAAGTACTAAGTGTTTACTCTCTGGTGACAGAGATGCTAGTGTTGGGACTGCAGCTGTTCACTATAAAGGTGAGAGAGACTCTAGTGCCGACGTTGGAAATCTGAGGGTTTGAGTGAGGCTTCTCAGCTTTGTCACCATTGATATGAGTTCTTTGTTGTCAATGACTGTGGGTGCTTAGGAATGGCGTCCCTTGTCCCTGCTTGCTGCTGGGAGCACGCATCTCTGCTCAACTAATTTGTGATGACCCAAAGGTGCACAGATGTTGCCACAAGTCCTCCCTTCCCCCACCCCCTGGGGGGTAATATCTTTCCTGGTTAAGAAACACTGATCTGGAAGGTCACTTCATGACACAGGATTTCTTGAATAACCAGAAAGGTCCTCTGGCCTCCTGGTAACATAACCATGAATATAGGAGCCTGGGCCCCAGGTGGGCAGTATCCCCTCAACATGTAAGAAATTAGCTGGGTAGTGTTTCCTGTTTCTTTCGTCTCTTCATGGTTTTCTTTTTGCTAGGACTTCTGTGAAGATTTCATACATTGGCCACATATCCCAGAGTACCCTGGAGACACAACACTATGTGGATTGTGGGGAGAATTCCACAGCTGTTCAGAGCCTGCTCTTGGTTCCCCGGGGGCCACCCCTGTAGAATGAAGTCTAGCATCTGTCCCTGTGGCTGGCCCAGCATCTGTATGGTGTAAGTGGAGGAAGAGGAGGCTGCTCTCTCAACCCACAGGAAACATCTTCCCGCACTTAGGGGAAAGACGCCTTTCTAACAAAACCACTCATCGCCCAGTGCCTAGTCTGTGCCTAGCAAGTAGTTAGCACTCAACCTCAGGTTGGAGAATTGGATTCAGATACTTTGGCTGCTCTTGAGCCGTTATAATTTGAGATGAACCAGGGTTCCAGGTTTTCAGAGCAGAGTAACGTAAGGTATGATGCTAGTGCAGCTACACACGTGTGGGTGTGAGAAGCACCCGCAGGTCAGGGTGTCCAGGACACCCGTGACGAGCCCCTCAGTGCCTGCCTTTGCCTCTGTTCCCTGATATCCCCACCCCCGGCTTCCCGGAAAGGTTTTGGCATCTCTTTTCCTTCCGCATACAAAGTGATTACAGTTTCCCTCCAAGGGTCTATTGACGGACTTGACAGACCTTTGATCCACTGGCTGGATATAGATTGGGAATTTGATAGAATAATAAACCCTGCTTTTGATTGATCCGAGCTGTCTCTGACTGCCTTACGCCTTTGTAGGCACCTGTGAGAGAAACTTAGAAGAGCTGCTTCCTAAGGGGGACACCTCAGGGTGTGCTGAGGGAAGAAAAGAGAGGGCACTCCAACTGTGTCTTCCTTGCCCCCAAGGAGCACCTTCAGAGCAGCCTCATGGTCCTGTGTGCCCAGCAGCAGATCAGAGCACACAGTGCCTCCTGGAGGCTGGAAAGGACAGGAAGAGATGCCTGAGGAAGGAAACTGCTTCGGGGAAGGGGGGGTGTGAGGGAGGAGGAGCAACCACCTCTATCAGACTCCTGAGGCACAGTATGAAGACCTGATTGGAGGTTTCTTCAGCTGCTCTACAATCCAACCTGGCAGGAAGTGGTCTGGTCCAGAGCTCAGCTGAGGTGGGCTTTAGCCTCCGCTGCACACCAGCTAAGCAGCAGGGAGCAATGCAACTTAGTCCTAAGTCTTGTCCTCCTTCCCCCCCCCACCCCCACCCCCACCCCGTTCTCTTGGCTTCATTTCCAGTATTTGTCTAATGACTTTGCTCTTTGAATCTTCAAACTTAGTCTGCTGCTAACAACCATGATCTAGTTACCAAAAGCTGGGCTTAGCACTAGAACTATGACATACCAGTGACAATGACAGGTACCGATCAAGCACACCATTTTTTTTTTGTTTGTTTGTTTTTCAAAACAGGATTTCTCTGTATATCTCTGGCTGTCCTGGAACTTACTCTATAGACCAGGCTGGCTTTGAACTCAGAAATCAGCCTGCCTCTGCCTCCCAAGTGCTGGAATTAAAGGCATGCGCCACCACCGCCCGGCAAGCACACCATTTTCAAAAATGACATCCTTAAAACAGAACACACCCCGCATACAAGAAATTCTGTTTTCCCATTTTCCTTTCTAGAGTGTGTGTGTGCGTGTGTGTGTCTGTCTGTCTGTCTGCCTGTCTGTCCGTCTGTCTGTCTGTACATGTGCATAGAGGCCATAGGATGTCGGCTGTCTTCCTCAATGGCTTGCCACCTTATTTCCTGAGACAGGGTTTCTCACTGAATCTGGACGTCACCAGTTGTTTAGAGCCTGGCCAAAAAGCTCCGGGGTCCACCTGTCTCCACCTCCCAGTGCTGGGTTATTGATGGACACCACCGTGCCCAGTGTTCACACAGGTCACGGGGACCTGAACTCACGGTCTCATGCTTCTGTGACGGGCACTTTGCCAACCGAGCCGTCTACTCAGCCCCTGGTTTTTCTCACAAAACATAGCCTCTGAAGCATTTTCCCTACAGCGTTGAGAAGACTCCTCACTTTGGTACTTAGTGTCGGATCATTTTTATGACTGTGTGTCTCAGTAACATCTGCTTGGTATTACCGTAAAACCCAGTTGATACCAAAGAAAAGCAACTGAAACCTTTAAACACGCACAGTTGATTCTGCTCCAATGCTTCAAGTTCTCAGATCTACTCACATTCTTAGCACCCTAACTTCACTTTAGGATGCCCTGTGTGGTTTAGCATAGTGTGTGTGTGTGTGTGTGTGTGTGCGCGTACACGTGCGCACATAGGTGTCATGCATGTGGAAGCCAAAGGACAACCTCGAGTATTGTTTCTCAGGCATTGTCTTGTTTTCTGAGATACAGTCTCTCACTAACTTGGTGCTCATGAGGTGGGACAAGGCTGGATGGCCAGGGGACCCTGGATCTGCCTGTCTCCTCTAGCACCACGATGCCTGGTTTTTGTTTTTAATTTTATATGCATGAGTATTTTGCCTGCCACCACACATATTCAGTATCCTGGAGGGTCCCCTACAACTGGCGTTAGAGATGATCGTGAGGTGCTATGTGGGTGCTGGGACTTGAACCCATGCGGGGTCCTCTGGAACATCAGCCAGTTGCGCTGTCTCTGGCCTGTTCAATGTGGCTTCTGGGGTTTGAGGTGTTTGCCCTCGAAGGCCAAGCTCCTTGGTTCCCTGCAGCTCCACCTGCACTGTCCTCACTCCACCTCGCACTGCTGAGGCCAGCACCTGACTGAAAACCCACCACATACAGAAATCTCCATTTATATATCTACACTGTCCCCAGAGCATCAAGGGCCACTGTATGCACCGATTGCACTGTATGCATGGATTGGACCATATGCATAGGTCGCAGTTTCTGACACATTTTGTCCATTTGTGGGTAGGAATTTCTAACTGCCACAAGCCACTTATGCTCACCAGGTCCCATATAGGCCACAGTTATCTCTAGGGGTTATTCTGCCTTTCTTGTTACCCCACCCCCATAGGACCTTCAAGATCTCTGTCAGGTATCCTGGGGGTTCTAGCTGAAAGTATGCAACAAGTCATTTAAAGAATCCGCCTGCCTTCCGGTCTGGGGCCGGGCACTGAGCAGATCCCGGGCGGCTATTCTGCACCCAATCTCACAAAACTCAGAGGAAGCGGGCCTCCCAGGAGCTCTAACCCGGACAGTATCTTGGGTAAGGAGACAGCACTGCCCCTCCCCCCAACACGGATTTACTGGGACCCACTAGGACCCAGGAATTCACTCCTGGCCCAGAGCACTGGTTCCTTCCAGTCTTGGCCCGAGCACTGAGCAGATTTTGGGCCCCAGCTCTAACCCTATTAGTAACACCCACCCCACACAGCTCTGAAACAACCAAGATAATAGGAAAGACAGGCTCCAGTCAGAGACAGGGCAGGTAGCACTAAGGCGATCCAGATGGTGAAAGGCAAGCGGAAGAACATAAGCATCAGCAACCCAGGGTACTTGGCATCATTAGAACCCAGTTCTCCCACACTAGAAAGTCCTGAATTCCCCATATCACCAGGAAAGCAAGATTCAGATTTAAAATCACTTCTAATGATGATGATAGAGGACTTTAAGAAGGACATAAATAACACTCTCAAAGAATTTGAGGAGAACACAGGTAAACAGCTAAAAGCCCTTAAAGAAGAAACACTGTAAGACCCTCAGAGTGAGGACTCTACTGTTCAACGGGCAACGCAATTTCACCCCAAATCACTCACGAGACACAAATCTTGATGCAAACAGCAAGAGGATTTATTCAAACCAGCGTGCTGGGGCTTCACTCGTATCTCACGCAGGGCTAGAGGAGATCGGCCCCAAGCAGTAAAAAACCTCAGCTTTTATAGGGTAAAAACACAACCAAGGGGGTAGGGAAACACAGCATTCTCATTGGCTCCTTTTAAATTGGCACACACTATCTTAACATCAGGTTCAGGGTCAGGGGCTCACACGTTCTCTATACCTGTTTTTCTTAGAACTGTTTACCCGGACCATACCTGTTTTTCTTACTCCAACTGGGCCAGAGGGCCCCAAGCTGAGTTTTTGAGTTTTAAAATTTTCCATCCTTTCAACACAAAAATCCCTTAAAGAATTACAAGAGAACACAACCAAACAGGTGAAGGAATTGAACAAATCCACTCAGGACATAAAAATGGAAGTAGAAACAATAAAGAAATCACAAAGGGAGACTACCCTGGAGATAGAAAACCTAGAAAAAAAAATCAGGAGTCATAGATGCAAGCATCACCAACAGAATACAAGAGATGGAAGAGAGAATCTCAGGTGCAGAAGATACCATAGAAAATATTGACACAGCTGTCAAAGAAAATGCAAAATGGAAAAAGTTCTTAACACAAAACATCCAGGAAATTCAGGACACAATGAGAACACCAAACCTAAGGATAATAGGTATAGATGAGAGTGAAGATTCCCAACTTAAAGGGCCAATAAACATCTTCAACAAAATTATAGAAGAAAACTTCCCTAACCTAAAGAACGAGAAGCCCATAAACATACAAGAAGCCTACAGAACGACAAATAGACTATACCAGAAAAGAAATACCTTCTGCCACATAATAATCAAAACACCAAATGCACAAAACAAAGAAAGAATATTAAAAGCAGTAAGGGAAAAAGGCCAAGTAACATATAAAGGCAGACCTATAAGAATTACACCAGACTTCTCACCAGAGATTATAAAAATGAGAAGATCCTGGACAGATGTCATTCAGACCCTAAGAGAACACAAATGCCAGCCCAGGCTACTATAGCCAGCAAAACTCTCAATTACCATAGATGGAGAAACCAAGACATTCCATGACAAAACCAAATTTACATATCTTTCCACAAACCCGGCATTACAAAGGATATTAGCAGGAAAGCTCCAATACAAGGAGGGAAATTATACCCTAGACAGAGCAGGAAAGTAGTCCTCTTCCAACAAATCCGAAGGACAATAGCCACACAAAGATAATTCCACCCCTAATAACAAAAATAACAGGAAGCAACAATCACTGTTCCTTAATATTTCTTAACACCAATGCACTCAATTCCCCAATAAAAAGACATAGGCTAATGGACTGGATATGTAAACAGGACCCAGCATTTTGCTGCATATAGGGAACCCACCTCAGTGACAAAGACAGACACTACCTTAGGGTAAAAGGCTGGAAAACAATTTTTCAAGCAAATGGTCCTAAGAAACAAGCTGGAGTAGCCATTCTAAAACCTCCAGTCCAAGAACACAAAGGGAGGGACTCACAGCTCCACCTGTATAGATAGTTGAGGGTGGCCTTATCAGGCATCAATGGAAGTGGAGGGCCTTGGTACCCAATAGTTTGGATTCCCTAGTGTTGGGGAATTTGAGAGCAGGGAGGTGGGAATGGGAGGATGGTGGGAGCACACCCTCATAGAAACTCCTAGAATTATATGGATTAGATATGATAGAGACAGGCTACCAGAAGACTAGATTCCAAAATTCAAACCAAAAATATCTTAATACTAAAATTTGTTTTGAGAATTGTATATTGCAGAATACACAGCCTTGGTACTCATCAAGCAAGCTGAGCAGACCTGCTCGAACCTCTGACGTCCTGGAATTCCAGCTGGTTGCAGTGAAGACACAGATGTCAGAGGCTTATCAATTTACTCTTCCCCCGACCCTCTTCTTATATCTCAATGCCCATAACAGCTTGAAGA